ATGCAAAAAAAAATAGAAAAAAGAAAAAAAAAGTAAGTGTAATAAAGTAGAAGGAGAAAGAAGCCATATAATGGACACTTGGGACACTTCATACTCTGGGGGCCATACAAATCTCCATCAAGAGCTTTCTGACTAAGAGCTTTCAGGCAGCCTGAGACATGTCTCCTTATATATGTCACCTATGCTTGGGTAGCACACTTCCCCAGCTGCTCAGGCCCCATCCTGGAAAGAAGGGCAGGAAAGCACACATCTCTATACTCTAAGTAAGTACAACTGCTACATTCAGGGGAATCATTAGACTTTACACACACTGGTTTCCTTTAAGAATGAGGAAGATTTTATTGATTGCGGAAAGATCTAAAAAGTTCCTAAGGAAGATTGTGGAAATCTATTTCCTGAAGTCTCTATTTTCTGGGGCCATTCCATTTTAACCTAGGAAGTTCAGTTTGATCTATGAGTCATTTGTTCTGCTACTTAGAGTAGGTTGTCAACATGCCTATGCAATTGCAAGTTTCCAGGTTAACTTTGTCACATTGTATAACTATCACCTAAGATCAGTGGGCCACTATCACCACCATGTACTACCTCCACTATTCTCATTCTCTTCTTCTTTTGCCAATATCAAATGCCTCGCATGTCTCATACTTGTCAGCACATTAGAGGTTTCTAAGTACTATTCCATTTAATTCTTACAAATTAATGCCATTGGTGAGCTAATAGTTTCTCACTAATGGAATCTGATATACAGTGCTTATCTGGAGAACTCCAGCTAGTTGGTGGCAGAGACAGCATTTGAACTTGTGTTTGCCTGTCGTTATAACTATATCACTTACTCTGTAATTAGAGAAGTGAGATAAATCAACATAGCCCAGCACAGACCTTACAGCATGCTCTTATAGTGGGACTGGAGTATTATCTTCATATAATAATGAGATAATTATCAACAAATGGGAGAGCACATAAATTTAATTCTCTAATACTAGGATCGAATCTTCTATCAATAAAACCCCAAATATCCTTCTCTTTCTCTCTCTGTCACACACACACACACACACACACACACACACACACACACACACACTACTCAGTTTGTGGGAATGTTTGAGACGTTTGTGTGATTCTTTCAGTAGTCCCATGTATAATTTCAGGCAACACAGCATTATTTAGACAAGACTGGAATGTGTTTAGGTTGATCCTGAGATACATTCAGAATCCTTGGTTCACTTTACAATTCCTGAATTGAATTTATATCAACAAGTATATATTATATTCTCACACTGTTTCAGATATATTTCAAGGTATTGGGAACATAATAATGAATAAACAATGAATCACCTGCTAGTAGCTTAATTTATTTAGATAGGTATATTTTAAAATAATGCATAATCATATATTGGAATAGCCACTATTCTAGGTGTATAAATACAAAGGGATATAGTACAGTACTTTTTTCTGACTCGACTTAGAGTAAGTGTTGTCACAGAATGCTTCCTGCAACAAATTCATGTTGAATTTATAAATGGTTTGATGGATCAAATAATGAGTCTAAACAATTTAGTCTCATTCAAAGAAAAGGGAACTATATGAATTAAGCGAGTGCATCAGTGCAAAATAACTTGCTTTATTTGGTCGTTGGTTGAAGCAAGGACAAGCCCAGGGAGATTATATTAAAAGGTTCCTAGATATAGGAAAGAGAGTCACTGATGAAACTGGAGGATAAGATCATCAATCAAGAGACATTTGAGAAGTTGAACCTATAAAGATTTGGAGATTGAACAGCCTTGACAGCTGGGGAAAGCAGAATTTTAAAAGGACCTTAAAGATTCCTGTCCAACCTGCTGTACTTGTTTTGTACCCTACCCACCCTTTGGATGTGAGTGGGGAACATTTATGTGAAGGGTTAGTACTCTTGTGTTTACTTTATGTTATATGGATAAAGGATTTTACAGATGTAATTAAGACTGCTAATTACTTGACTTTGAATTAATCAAAAGGAAAATTATCCTGGTGGGCCTGACATAGTCACAAGAGCCTTTAAAAGAGACAAGAAGCAGTAGAAAGAGTCTCCTGCTGCTTTTGAAGTAGATATCATGTTGTGAGAGGATCACATGACTAGAACTGAGGGTAACCTCTAAGAACGAAGAGCATCCCTCTTCCCCTATCCCACAGACAGCAAGAAATCAGAGACTTCAATCCTAAGCCACAAGGAACTAAATTTTGCCAGCTGCATGACTAAACTTATAAGAAGACTAGAGGTTCCAGATGAGAACACATTGCTGAGAGGCACCTCGATTTCAACCCCGTGAGATCTTGAGTAGAGGACCTAGTTTTTCTGTGCTCAGACAGTACACTTGCAGAACTGCGAGATAATGAATGTATCTGCTGTATGCCAGTGAATTTTTAGTAATTTCTTATGCAGCCATAGAAAACTAATGCAATAGAGTATGTTTTGGTCAGAAACAGAACCCAGATTTCAGCCATAGGTATGAAGAGGGAAATGAGGGCAGGCAAATCATTTTATCAGTTGTAGGTATAGCAAAGGAGATTCATGTAGTAGGAATGCAGGGGTTAAGATGAAAGTTGTTTTTAATTATGTTTAGGTTGAGGAAGAAATCAGAAAATTTATGTAGGTTGTAGTAATGGTACAAGTACCTCACCCTTTTGAAGCTAGAAAGATAATTCCTTACTTGATCTCTATTACCTCGTAAACATTACATTTTATTACTTTGTCTCTCGTATTTTAGTGACATTTCTAAAATATTTACGCTTAGGCTTTCTTTCATGGTAATTTTCACCTGTCAATCTTTGCACAATAATTCTTTATTTATGCAGAGAAGACTTTTGACACCTCCTCCCACAATTTTCTAATATATACAACCTCTTTATCTTAGATAAATACAGTCTTATTGTATATGTCACACTGCATTTTATTTTTTTTTAATGAACTATCTTATTCTTTCCTAGCGATCCCCAGGTCAGGGAGTACCTAACCTGGCTCTGCATCCCTATGGTCTGGATCACAGCTTGCACTCAGTAATGTTTGGGGTGTAACTAAACTAACGACTACACTGAGTGACTAGGTAGTAGCATTGTCTAGAAAGGAGCAAGAGTTCTTTTGAATAAGAAAAGATGAAAAAAGAATGAGAAAAAACATAGTTGTGGAGGAAGAAGCAATCAAACGTGGAAGAGATATTAAACAGTAGACATTGTTAAAACAGGCTTTAAGCCGGGCTCGGTGGCTCAACCTGTAATCCCGCGCCTTTGGGAGGCTGAGGTGAGTGGATTGCCTGAGCCCGCGGGTTCGAGACCCGCTTAGGCAGCGAGACCTCATCTCTACAATAAATCAAAAAATCAGCTGGGTGTGGTAGCGTATGCCTGTAATTCCGGCTACTTGGAAGGCTGAGGCGGAAGGATCGCCGGAGCCCAGCAGGTCGAGGCTGCGGTGGCCCGGAGCGGCCACTGCACTCCAGTCTGGGCGACAGAGTGAGACTCCAACTCAAAACAAAAACAAAAACAAAAACAAAAAACAGTCTTAAAAATATTCCCATGTTTTTCTCTCAGTTGCCAGATAAAGAGACAGGCAAATAAGAGAGGTGGAATTGAGAAGAAATGTAGAAAAAGGAAGAGTGAGAAATGTTTATATGCTTTTTTAAACTTTAATTTTTCTTTTTAAGTGATAATCGCTAAAATCTGGTTAACTTTTATCATAGTGAGATACTTAGCTAGGATTTTTACGTACATTAGTTGTAATCCTCACAACAATTCTATGGGGTGTGCATATATATATTTAAAATTCTGCTTATGTAGTGGATCACGTTTATTGACTTGTGTTTGTTGAATCACCCTTGCATCCCTGGGATAAAACCCACTTGGTCGTGATGTTCGTGATTTTTTTATGTGCTGTTGAATTCAGTTTGCTATTATTTTGCTGTGGATTTTTCCACTTATGTTCACGAGGGATATTAGTCTGTAGTTTTCTTTTTTTGTTGTTGTGTTTTTTCCAAGCTTTGATATCAGAATGATACTGGCGTCGTTGAATGAGTTAGGGAGGATTGTCTCTTCTTCAATCTTGTGGAATAACTTTGGTAAAATTGGTAAAGTAACTGGTACTTTACTTTAGAGATGATCAAACAGAGGCAAAGACAGTTTAGTAATTCGTCATGTGGTAACACAGCTGGTAAATGCCAGAGCATTTGAACCCAATCAAAATTTAGAACATGCAGTTGAAAAAAATTGACTTGGTATGCAGAGTGAAAATGTAGAACATCCAGCTATCCTTAATAGTTATATTGGAGACTCTGTATACTCAAATAACTCTGTTTATGTAAAATTGCCTTAATTGATCATTTCTGTTACGTAGTATTAAAATTACTTAGGTACAACTCAAGTTTTGACAGTACAGGTAGACTGTACACTTATCCAGGGTATTATCGCAGCTACTAATAGATAATATAAGGTCAACAAATGTTAGCTCTTTATTTGAGATATTGAAGCTCATTCTGACTGAAAGAAGGTATTCAGGAAATGAAGAGAGGATTTGTTGAATGGACCTCTAGAAGCCAACATAATTCAATTACTCTATCAGAATCACTTTCATATACTATTTACTGTTTGCCTAAAATTTCATACACCCCATTGGACACATTTCAGAAAATATGTGCTTATCTCTCATCACTTGAAGTCAGGAAATAATGGCTAAAATCTTAGCTGCATCACGTATGAGACATGTGAACTTAAATATGATGGAATGTTGCTTCATTTGTTTTTGTACAAATTCTATATCCTCAGGTAATTATTCATTTCCTGTTTTCTGCGGCTTTATTTAATGTGGTTTTAGTTTTTATGCTAACCAAGAGTTATGAGCTCTCTATATAATATAGATATAGCCTTTTACAAATGTTTACTGGTGAAATAATTAATTTCACATTGAATGCATAATAAATAAATACAGTTTATCATTGACAGACATTCAGCTTAAGATTCTGCAGTTTGATTTCAACATGTCAACTTTACAGAATACCACATCCTCTTCCATCATTTTCCTGCTAACTGGTGTTCCTGGACTGGAAGTCTTCCACACCTGGATCTCCATTCCCTTCTGCTTCCTTTATGTGACTGCCCTCTCGGGAAACAGTCTGATTCTCTTCGCCATCACCACCCAGCCCAACCTCCATGAACCCATGTACTATTTCCTTTCCATGCTGTCTACCACAGACCTCGGCCTATCTGTATCCACCCTGGTCACCATGCTGGGTATATTCTGGTTCAATGCCAGGGAGATTGGTTTTAATGCCTGCTTATCACAGATGTTTTTTATTCAACTTTTCACTGTCATGGAATCCTCAGTGCTGTTGGCCATGGTTTTTGATCGTTTTGTGGCCATTTCTAATCCTCTTAGATATGCTTCTGTCTTAACTGACCTTAAAATAGCACAAATTGGAACAGTAATCATCACCAGAGGGACACTAATACTGACCCCAATGGTGATGCTTCTTAAGAGACTGTCCTACTGCCGCAGTCATGTGCTCCAGCACTCTTACTGCTTTCATCCTGATGTGATGAAGCTTTCATGCACAGACACCAGGATCAACAGTGCAGTTGGGCTGGCTGCCCTCATCACCACTGCTGGGGTAGATTCTATCTTTATTATCCTTTCTTATATTTTTATCATTAAGACTCTTCTCAGCATTGCTTCCCCAAAAGAGAGGAAGAAAGCTTTCAGCACATGTATCTCTCATATTGGGGCTGTTGCTGTATTCTACATCCCATTGATCAGTCTATCCTTTGTTCACAGATTTGGAAAACGAGCCCCACCCTATGTACATACCCTGATTGCTAATGCCTACCTGCTAATCCCCCCTTTGATGAACCCAATCATCTACAGTGTGAAGACGAAACAGATACGCAAGGCTGTATTAAAAGTGCTTCATTGCAGCACGACAAAGAACTAGACGGTCCTTTCGATTTTATATAGTCTTTTTTTCTTCATATTGATGAGTAAAATGCCATTCAGAGAGGGTAAATTGTTTAGATTCCCAAAAGATAACTTAATTTTGAGTAAAAAACCATGGGCTAAGAGAGGTTAATATGAACTAGAGATTCTCAAGGATATAATTAAGGATTCTTCAATAATCATGATGATAAAAAGAACATTTCTTCATTTGAGATGAAATATTTTAAATAGCCTAGTTAACCAATGACCCAACTTACTTTTTGAATGTGGAATTACTATTATTATTTTAAATAGAAAAAAGAGAAAATGTCTAGTTGTTTAACTTTATCCTTTACAGGGAGAAACAACATCACTGCAGCTCACAAATGGAAATAAAAAGTACATTAACAATTTCAAATTACCAAATTTTATTATTTAAATCTTCCATAGACAATTGACTGTACCCATGATTACTTAATTTTTCAAAATATTATTTTTCTTTGCCTCTGACCTCTCTGACATCCTCATTTAAACAGCTAGTATAATCATCAATAAACATTGCTTTGCCTTGTTAGTAACTTAACTTTATTTGGTCAAATATTTATACTTCTCACAGCTCTTCAGAGAATATTTTTAACTCAGGATTCTGTGAAAAATAACTCTGCTTAATTCAACTCTAAACTATATAGTTCCTTCAGAAGCACTAGTGTCATGCTTTCTGCTTAATAAAAGTGTTCTTGCTTGTGGAAAATATCATTTCTGAATAAAATTAATTTTCTTTATGCCTCATGATTAAGAAGAAGCAAAAGCAGAAATATTTTAATCTGGTTGGATTTTTAATGCTATATTTAGATCTTCTCCTTAAGGAAAGTTGAAGTGGATATGGTAGTCAGACTCTAAATTGAAAAATAGAAACTACACCAGTCATTAACACAGGAAACGTTTAATACAAAGAACTGGATAAACAGGTATTAGAGGACCAAATAGGCAAAAAGATAACAGAAATTATACAGAGATAACAACTACAGAAAGTTTCTTGCATCTGTGTGGCCTTGGGAGCAAAGAGTAGACTTTGGGTTTATTAAAACCTAGAATCTTGGTGGAGGGTTCCAACCAGAGGTGAAATTTAGACCTATCATGAGAAGATGCTGTCATGCTAGTCCTGGTACCTTAGGAGCTCAGAAGTTGGGGCACGCAGGAGAAAGGGGCACTTCCTTGCTGGAGATCATGCCTCAGGAGCACAGAGGAGGACATCTCAGGAAAGGGCCTACTGGTGGTTGATTCTGTCTTCTGAGAGGCATGATGAAAATTAGTGCTAGAAGTATGGGAAATAATAAAACCGGAAACTAGAACAAATGCAGCTGGGCAAAGAACTATTCCTGTGGTGGCAATGACAAGCACAATAGGTAAACATGATGGAGATACTTGTCCCTACAGCACTTTTAGTCTCCCAGCATCTCTCAGTTAATAGAATGTAGCAGGGAACCAGCCAGCAAACGATGACTATGATTAATGAGTTGCAGCCTTCTTATCAAAAGAAGTCTATAGAATGGTGGGTCTGGAGCTGAGATAGCCAAGAACCAGCACAGTGTAGTTACGTGCTTGTAACACAAGTAATCTCAATATGGCCATGATAAAGGTTTTATTAGGTGATCCAACCTGGACTGTTGATACTATCAACAGTAACTGGCAATTATAGCTAGCCAATCACCAAGTACTATTACATACAATCTTCTGAAAGGCTGCTAGTTGACAATTTCCAGGTATTTTCTTGGGAGTATTTTTTCTTCTTTCTAACAAATGTCTAGTTATCTTTGGACCCACTCCCCAGTTCTCCTGTACACTGTTTAGCAATAGAGTTCCTGGTTGTGTCTGAGTCAAATTCTGTTTTGGAGATTTCTGTTTGCTCCAATTGTTCTCATTTTTGTTCACTAATGGATTCTTTTCAAAGACAGAGACCATGGCATATCTATCCTTAGGTGACAGAGTTTGACTAGCAATGTATGGCCATTATTTTTACTATTTATTCACCCCTAGTTCTATTGTCCATCCATTTTGCTTTGCTTGATGCTCTAGGGTATTGACCCAAATTGACTACATCACTCTGGCTCCCCAGTGAGCTGACTTCAGGTTGGGTTCACAAGATGGAAGGCACTGGCAGGAGAATGTAGGGCTAGAGCAGAGATCCTGCTTTCGCAATGTTTCTTCTTTCTCTTTAGCCCCTGGGTTAGTGATGGTTTCTCACTGGCACTAGTCTCCAGGAATCTCAGCATCCCTTGTTTGTTTCCTTAGACCTGTCCATCATTGTATAATTAGTTCTTTTATTGACATCTTTCACATTAAGCTATCTGAACAAATTTTGTGTTTCCTGCTGATTTTTGCAACTGATACACGTCACTTTAATAAGCGAATATAATAACTCCTATTTTTTACTGGGTCTACTTGAACTTCACCTGTAAGTACTTTTTGAGCTTGAGATGCATGAACAAAGTGCTTATTGATCCTTTTCCACCTAAGGCATGAAGTAAATGCCTTTCACGGGTCTTTGACTTAGGTCGTAGCTAGGCCTTTGATTTAAATCTAAGGGCTTTGCTTTAACCACATGTTAGACCCCAGGAAAACCCCACCAATGTGATTTCTAGTCATAGCAGGGCTTTTCAGAATTCTCCTCTATATGCTGTCAGGGCACGAAGCCAGAAATGGAGGGTGAGGTGGATGTGTGACCTCCAGATGGTTCGTTTGTAGGGATCTGGGTACACAATCTCATATATTTTCTCTGATACAAATAAAATAGACAGCTAGAATTTCAGGCAGAGAAGAGGGAGGCCTTAGTTCTGCCCCAGTATTTTTCTTTTGGCCTTAGCTTACATTAAAAACATAAAATTGAAATAACATATTAACTATTTACCTTGTGTTTATCTTATGGAATGCAAAGATTAAAAATTTGCCTTTCTAGCTCTCCAGGAACTAATAGTATGATTTGGAAGTAGGAATTATACCCATATGTTTTGAAGAATGTAAGAGATAAAAATAAGGTTCCCATGGCTTCCCCATAAAAATCCCAGAAAAGAGTTCTAAGTGGTAGGGGACACTTTCTGTATAAATGAATCAATAGCACAATTTTATTGTTTACTATCATACAATGTTAAAATTGGATCTTTCCTCCCTAGTTAAAGTTAAGTCAGGAAAACAATAGATACTAAATTCCAAAGTGAGTTGTCAGACTTTCAAGAAGGGTTAGATGAGAAAGAGAATATATAATTTGTAAAATAATTTAAAAAGTCTTATGGACATAAAGAAAATGAACTAAAAAAATAAAACTTCAGACTATCTTTTTTTCTTTTAATCTGCACAGATAGAGGAAGCAGGAAGACATATAGAACAGTCTTCTTGGCATCTTAACACTGCAAATGTCTCCAGTGCAAAACTAGCTTGGTATCTTAAGCAAGACACAGATGATCTGGAAAAAACTGTAAGCTTTTGTTGTCATACTTTGTTTTATAAGCACTTATTTTCTTTTTATAAGATCAGGGAACTTTGACACAGAGGTAGAAGGGACAAGGTATCTTGTGACACAGGGAGGTGCTGCTAAATGGGGTTCTTATAGATTTTGTGAATAGGATTACTTTAGATAAAGTTGCATGAGGGGTCTACTTAGTCTTTCACTAAAGAAGGAAGGATCATGTGGTTGAGGAGATATAATGGTGCTCTTTAGGGAGATCTGGGGAGGAAAATGATAAATAACTCCCTTTGAGAAACCTACAGAGGAAGAAAAGGGACTGAAGAGTTTCTGTGGCACTAGAGTAAAGAAAATTGCTATTTCATATGATTGGGTTCATACTACCCTCTCAAGTCTTCTATGCAAGAGTGCCTGAGTATGTCCTGTGGACCAGAAGCAAACTATGTGCACATAAAAGAACCAGTAAGAGAATCCTCTTCAATCATGTCCAGAAGCACAGTAAAACCTCAACTGAAAAGAATTTGGGTAACCTCTGGGCTGTGGAAGAAAATAGGAAACATCCACCAAAGGAACTGCAGATGAGAAACTAGTACTGTTTGCTGAGAGATCTTTTATGAATCCACAAAAGCAGCCCAGGAAAGAAAGTCAGCCCCCCAAAACCACTAAACCTGGCAAATATGAAAATATCTTGTGGCAATATCAAATAAACACAAATTTTGCTATTGGTTTTACTTTTCTTTTTTAGTTTTGACCTTAGCAGTGTTAAAAATAATAGCTAATGAGATGAGAGTGTAAAAGAGGAAAGCCAATGAAGCTCTCTCTCTAGATGCTCTGAGGCCTGTCTGCAGTCTGCTTTAGCTCAGATAGCAGAGAGAAGTGTTGTCTTTGAATGAAGATTCAAATGTTGATTATTTTACCGAGCCAAGTTCTTTCAATTTCTAAATCGGAAATGGGTTTTATAACTTAAAGTGAGACTTTCTATTTCTTACCACAGAGAACTTACATTGTTTGTCAACGTTCTTATCCAGGGTAGGAAAGAATATTTTCTACTGATCAGCTATAAAGGTACTTGGGGGATTAAAAACAACAACAACAACAACAACAACAAAACAACCCATTTCCTTTAAAGAAACATCCCATGCATACTGCATGTTCATCAACATCAGTTACATTACAAAAGACAACCAATATCACTTACTTTCAAGCACCTCATGTAGAAGGGCATATTGCTCACTTGGTAGCATATGGTCTATTTAATAGCATTTGCTAAAATGTTTGCTTACAGTCATCAAACATTTATATATAGCAAATCTAAAAACTTTATGATTTAGAAGAAAATTTTTATGACCATAGTTAAAATATCTGTGTATTTCATTCTGCTATTCATCAAATATATTTTATAGCTTCATGATTCAACCTAACATGTGTCAGCTTTTTTCCCCTTAATATATAAACAAACATAAGTTTCCTTCTCTCTATAAAAAGTGGAAAGGAGGAAGTCTCTCAAACATAGTGCTCCTTGTGAGTCCAGGATGTCCAAGTGGTAAACAATTCTTCCA